AGGAGAGGCTGAGGGAGCTGGGGGTGTTAAGTCTGGAGAAGAGGACACCCAGGGGGGACCTTATCACTCTCTAGAACTACCTGAAGGGAGGTTGTAGTCAGGTGGAGGTCGGGCTCTTCTGCTGGGCAACAGGACAAGAGGGCATGGTCTGAAACTGCCTCAGGGGAGGTTTAGGTTGGATCTCAGGAAGCTCTTCCTCATGGAGAGGGTGATCAGGCATTGGGATGCACTGCCCAGGGCAGTGGTGGAGTCACCGTCCCTGGAGGTGTTTAAGGAGAGGCTGGGTGTGGCACTTGGGTGCCGGGGGGGAGGGCTTGAGTCATAGGCTGGACTTGATGGTCTCGGAGGTCTTTTCCAGTCTCAACAATTCTGTGATTCTGTTAAAGTGTTTGCTATCAAGGAGCTGTCCATGAATCATATCTATTATAGGCTAAGCTTTGCTAAGTTAAAAAGCACACATTCCTTTAGATGTCAGCTAAGTTTTCCTCTTGACATCACTGAACTTTGTTGTTAGTGCATGGAAAGAATTAAATGACTTGCTTCTGATATGTATTGTACCTGTTATGCTGCCACCTTTGATGCTACTTCAGAGTATTAATTCTCGTTATTATGTTTTTACAGTGTAATGATAGTGAAGAAGATATGTTTGGTGACTATGATAGCTTCTGTGGAAATGATTCTTTGCTAGCTGATGTGGATGATATAGAGTGCAAATACCTGCAGGATAAAAATACAGATATTAAATCAACCGGAGAAATCCTACTTGGGAATCATCAGTCAGGAATTCACCAGATAAAGCAAGATAGTTTTTCTACTTCAGAAGATACGGTTTTCCTTAAAACTGACAAAGAGGATGCTTTGCGAATGAATGAAAATGACCCAGGGGACAGGAATCAAGAACTGACAGACTCTATTTTAGATGATTTGCCATCATCACAACTTTTGTATTTTGAGAAAATGGATGAACTTTCTTCTGGTTCTAGAATATCACCAGTCAAAGGGAGGAATAAATGTGTAAATTCTTCCTTGGACAAGGTCGGGAGTCCATCATCTTTTTGTCCTGATGCTGAACACAGAAACAGACATACTGACTTTTCCTCAGACTCTAACTGTAATTTATTAAAAACTGAGAGTCTTAAAGATCATTTGAAAAGTGCTATGACTGGAAATGCCAAAGTCCAGACTCTGCAGGTCTCAAAGACCAAGCAGCTTAAAGAAGCTGTTTTATCTAAAGAGATTTGTGTTGCTAGGAAAACTATTGAATCTTCTTCTGTGGATATAGGACCTTTTTACGGATTGCCTAGTAAAGTTAAAGATCTTTTCAGACAATTTCGAGGGATTGAAACACTTTATGGTAATGTAACTAATGTTTTTTTGAAGAAAAAAATGCTAGTGAAGTGTTGCCCCTTTTACCCATTACACTCTAAAGATATTTAAGTCAAGGTAAGATTTAAAGCAAGCCATGTTGGAAAGTGGTTGCTTTGTTTTATTAAGTGGTTGTTTTGGTTTTTTAGATGGATGGGAAGGGTTGATATGGATTATAGAGTACCTTAAAAGATTAGATCACTGAAATCTTCTAGCAGTTTATTAAAGAAAAACTCACTCTAGGCGTAAGGTGTTCTATATGAAGCATAGGCATTTTGATGTCCTTGGGAGTTGCTAACATATTTTTTTAATTTTTTCAGAATGGCAGCATGATTGCTTAATGTTAGAATCTCTACAGCAAAGAAAGAATTTAATATACTCATTGCCAACCAGTGGTGGAAAAACACTTGTAGCTGAAATAATTATTCTTCAAGAATTACTCTGCAGGCAGAAAGATGTTCTGATGATCCTGCCATATGTTGCCATTGTCCAAGAAAAGGTCTGGATTCAGTGTTTCTTAGACTGCTTATCTTTGATATGACTTATTACTTGGCTGTTTTAAACAGTAATTGTAGTAAACTCTATGATTTTCATAAATCTATGGTGGGAAGTGAATGACTTCTCTCCGAAGTGCTGCACTGAGGGTCACTAATACTGTAATAAAACAGACTTAAATTATGAGGTGAAGATGGTGAGATATAAAGTGTGCTGAAATTTGAAGTAACTTTTTGTTATCTGTAGTTCTGCAGTTTCAGAGCTGTACTGCCTAACTTGCCAAAGAAGTGGTCTTAAAATAAAAATTTTTTGGGGGGTGTAAAGGATAAGCTAATTTGAGAGAACAGATCTAACCCAAGCTTGGTAATATTTCTAAACATTTCAGCTTTGCAACTGGAAAAGGTAGTATAGCTAATATGATTTTGCTAATTCAAGCAGTTGATTGTGGTATGAGTTGGTTATAGGAATGTTTTGTTTGTAAGACCTCTTTGAAATCCAAAATGGCATGATTTTTTTTCTGTGATTGATTTTTTTTTTTTTTTTTAACAGATTAGGGGTTTATCAAGTTTTGGGGTAGAATTGGGTTTCCTGGTTGAAGAATACGCAGGAAGTAAAGGAAGATTTCCACCAATCAAGAGGAGAAAGAAAAAGTCTCTTTATATTGCTACTATAGAAAAAGGGCATGCTCTAGTCAATTCCTTAGTTGAAACAGAAAGAATTGATGACCTTGGTCTGGTTGTAGTAGATGAGGTATGCTGCAAGATTTACTTGGATTTATAATAATCAATTTTTTAGTTTCATAATATGCAATTATTAGCTAAGAGCAGTTTCCTGATTACTTGGTTTTGCTTCGAGTGTTTGTTATGAAATCACTGCTACTTAACTAAGCTTTTTCTGCATTGGTACGTAATTCTGTAATGTTGAAAGTTACTGTTCTTTGTTGCTATATCAGGATAACAGATTGTGTGTTGAGAGACCTACTGTGTTAGTGGTTGATGTTGAATTGTTTAGTAACTACTTGTCAGTTATGCATCTCTAATGGATTAGAAAAAAATAATTTTAAGCGTATGGAATGTATTTTCTGAATCTTGGAATTGAACTCCTAAATGTGAAACCATGAGACTTTGTGCCTGGTATTGGTAATGACTAAATGAAACACTAAAAAAAAATAAGGAAAAATCAAGTAACATTTGATTGTGAGAATTGCCCCTTACTCTGCTTTTCAGTGATGTGGCTGAGTTGTGCTACTAAGGGCTGACTGCAGAGTGTGACATCTAACAGGGATGTTTAACTCATGGAATGGTTCAGGCTTATGGACCTTACTTTAACAAAGTTGCAAAGGGCAGTTAATATTTCTACTTTTTACTTCAGGCTGGTGAAGGCAAAGTTCTTTGTGCTGTTTACTGTCAAGAGTTAACTGTTTGTGTCGGTTATGGTCTAGTTAAATGAAAGGCAAATCTCATCTGTGTTTGCTCTTAGATCTGGTTTTCTGTGATTCTTGAATGTTGTTTCAGGGAGGCTACACTTCTGGAAAGAGGTAGCAATCAAAATTTACCAGAAAGATGAGGAAGTCCAGCAAAAACATTCATGTGATATTTGTTTTAGGACTACATAATTTAGGTTTTCTTTGATAGAAATACTCTTAACTCAGTAATACTCCTGCATTTTCTTTTTCCTTTTTGTATGCAGTTACATATGCTTGGTGAGGGAAGTCGTGGAGCAACGCTGGAAATTACTCTTGCGAAAATTCTTTACACTAGTAGTAAGTCATGGATGCAGTTAATGTTATTAAAATATTCTCTAGAGAGAAGCCATATTTTACTTTTGGGATTTGCAGTGTTCTGGCTGCTTTTGAAAAAGATGACATGACCTCAGTTGTTTAGAGCGTGGTGCTGATAATACCAAGGTTCGCGGGTTTGATTCCCGTTCGGTCCCCATGTGTTGCCTGATCTAGTTGAGAGGCGTCCCTGCCCATTACAGGGAGGTTGGATTAAATGATCTCTAAGGTCCCTTCCAGCCTAGGCCATTCTATGATTCTATGACTCTATCCAGTAACAATGTTTACTCATTTAAGAATTAGTCACTTGACCCCCCATCATCATGGATTGGGTGTTTTTGAAGCTTTTTTGATACTTGTTCTTGTGAGAAATCCCAAGTACTGTCAAATTTCTTAATAGGAGCCCCTTAGTCATTAGAACTAAATGCTTCTATAGAGAAGGATTTCATTTTTATGCTTATATTCCAGGTAATATTTCTTAGCTGTGTTCCGTTTCAAACGCTGCTACTTTGGCATTTGAAAAGAGTAATAGTGAAGAAGCAGGCTGATCAATTAAATACTGAGCAGAAGTGTTAAAAATTGTGAACATGACAATTCATCTCAACTTCTGTTTTACAGAAAGCACCCAAATCATTGGAATGAGTGCAACTTTAAACAATGTTGGAGACCTGCAGAAATTCCTGCAAGCGGAGTACTATACTAATAATTTTAGACCGGTCTGTATACAAGATACGATAAACTAATAAGTATTTGGCTTTACAATTATAGCAAATCTGTTCAGGGTTGTGTCACACCTTTTGCACTTAATTTGATGGTGTAATGTTATAGAATGTCTGCTACTGCTTGCAGTCGTACCAGTACACTAAATAGCACTGTACACTTGTAAAGGCACAATGCAAGTGCCTTTATATGGTTGTGTTAAGCCATTGATGTAGTTTCAACTAAACCAATTTCTAAATTGCAGCCACTGTGATAAATCATTACAGTTCATTTAATATAACTAGAGTCTGTACTACTGCTGCTTGAAGGCTGTCATGACAATAGTTTGAATAGTTCATGGGATACAACATTTGTCATTCTTCATTACAATTAGACATTTTCTTGAGGCAGATAATTAAAACAATTAACTTTAAAAAATACTCTTGTTGGGACAGAGTGTGTACATGCAACTATCTATGTATATAAAATGTGATGCTTAGGAAAAAAATCTAGTTGTACATCAGTAACAGGTTAATCTTTAGAGAATACTTGGTAACTTAACTGAAGTTTCTGTTTATGGCTCATCTTAGGTAGAATTAAAGGAATACGTAAAGATACGAGATACCATTTACACAGTTGACAGCAAAACAGAAAATGGCTTTACTTTTTCACGTGTCCTTAATTTCAAGGTAAAACCAAAGTTTCTTTGAACTATAGTTATGAAATGTATTATTTTTTGCTGGTTAGTTTGCAGAGCTTTAACCAAAGAAATTACTTAAACATGATAGTTCATTTGTAGTAAGTATGAGAGAAAATGGTAGGCTTTGGGGACAAAAAGGGCCTTTAAAATGCTGAACACGTAACTTGATTCTCACTTCTTTACTGTTTCTTCCGTATTTTGATGTGCCCGGACCAGTGGATTAGACTATTCCAGTGAATCAATGCTTTGTGGTTTTGAGTAGATTTTCTCAACAGTTAATCAATCTTAGGTGATGCTGAAAGACTTTTTTTTTTTGTTGTTTCGTGGGTTTATTCCTGCTTTGTAGGGATTCATTTCAGTTTTTTAAAAGTGTGTTATGGTAGACTGCCAGTAGCACAAGTAATGGTTGGACTCCATCTTAAAGGTCTTTTCTAACCTAAGCAATTTCATGAATCTGTGATGATCGCTATGGTGTTGCTGAAAAGAAATTGAAGGCAAAAAGCAAAGCATTTGATTCCTGCATCCATGTACCTCTCAATTCGAGCTAGATGTGTTAATGAATTTTCAAGTGAAGATTGGGAGAAAAGTTTAGTCTGCAACTTGTTGTGGTTGTGTCACAGTAAAGCAGATGAGAGTATTCTAGCAAAGATTGAGAAGTATTGAATACTTGATTTATGACTTAATTTCTAAGTTTAAGTATTTATCAGTCTGTCTTTATGATAGTATTCTAGTAATCTGGAGAAAGCAGATCCTGACCACATCATTGCACTGGTTACTGAAGTTATTCCTAAATATTCCTGCCTGATCTTTTGTCCTACTAAAAAGAACTGTGAAAATGTGGCCTCAATGGTGTGCAAGTACCTCAAGAAGTAAGTTTGTTGTGATTTTTTTGATTATACGTAGAATAATTGTTCAGAATTTACAATTTATCTTCACTAGTTTGCGAGTGACTGGTTGCGGCGAAGGAGACAGCAGCCTCTGGTCTGAATTGAAAGCAAGGCTTTTTTTTCTTGTCAAAGTAGAAGCAGGAAACTGGTTGCAGCGAAGGAGACAGCAGCCTGAATTGAAAGCAAGGCCTTTTATTGTCAAAGCAGAAGCAGGAGCAAAAGCAGAAGCAAAGTTGTGCGTGAATGTATGTCTGAGTGTGTGTGTGTGAGTCCCCAAGAGCCACTTATATACAATTTTCTGCATCTGAACTATAAAGCCAAACAGGATTACTTGTTTTTCTTGATACATTCATCCTTGCAACTGCTCTTGGTTGCAGCCGTTCACCTATGCTTCCACGCAGTTTCCCAGCCTGATCTTAGTAATGCATTCATGAACTATTATCCTGTGTGGCTTGTTCAGAACAGCTTGTTTTTACCCAAGTCTAGTCTGGTTTTATCTTCCAGGTGTTCAGCAAGGTCCCCATATATCAGAACAGTTCATTTTACTAAAATCTGGTTGTATTTTTCCTCTGTGTGCTCAGCAGAATTCCCACGGGTCTGCTCTACACATCGTGCATCAGTTTACGATGAGGGTGGCTAGAGCCTTGGCTTCGTCCCTTCGGAGATCTTGCAACTTTCCTCTGGTGATTCCGAGAGCTATAAGAATAAAAATAGCACAAGCACAGTCAAGACTAACAAAAATCTAAATATGCATACTGAGCTCAGAAAACCAATTTTTTGGGTTTAACCATTTCATGCTATGAGATATGTCACCCAGCACACTCTTATGAGATAATTCTTGAAAGGCGGACAGCTGGCTTTGTAATGCTTACACTGAGATTATCTGCAAGATAGCAAGCTACAATTCATCAAAGCAACAAACACAGATTCAGAATTGCTGTTAATAAATTCACTCTTTGCAATAATAATAATAATAATAATAATAATA